TCATGTTATTTGTATTCTTTCCCTCTTTTCCTTTGTTAAATTTGCCAGTGGTTTGTCAATTTTATTGATCTTTTCAAAAAACCAACTTCTGTTCCTGTTGATTTTTTCTATAGCCCTTCTATTTTCTGTTTCATTGATTTCTGCTCGAGTCTTGATTATTTCCTTTCTCCTGGTGACTGTAGGCTTTTCTTGCTGTTCTTTCTCTAATTGTTGGAGATGTTGGTTAGAAGTGTTAATTTTGGCTCTTTCTTCTTTTTTGATGTGTGCATTGATGCTATATATTGGCTTCTGATGACTGCTTTTGCTGTGTCCCAAAGGTTTTGGTATGTTGTGTTTTCATTCTCATTTGATTCAAGGAATTTTTGAATTTCAATTTTTATTTCTTCTCTCACCCAGTCTTTCTCTAGGAGGGTACTGTTCAATTTCTATGTGTTTACTCTTTTTCTGTTGATCTTCCTATTGTTGATTTCTAATTTGATAGCATTATGATCTCAGAAGATGCTCTGCAGTATTTCAGTATTTTTTAATTTATTAAGGCTTGCTTTATGGCCTAACATATAGTCTATCATGCAAAAAGTTCCATGTGCACTGGAGAAGAATGTATATTGTGCTGCTGTTGGGTGAAGTGCTCTGTAGGTGTCTATAAGGCCAAATTGGTGGAGTGTATTATTTAGCTCTTCTGCATCTTTATTGAGTTTCTTTCCAGTTGTTCTATCTTTCAAAGAAAGTGGTATATTAAAGTCTCACACTATAACTGTGGAATCATCCATTTGGCTTGTCAACTCTTTTAAAGTCTGATTTATATATTTTGGGGCCCTTTCATTGGGTCCATAAATATTTATTTTGGTTATATCTTCATGTTCAATTGATCCTTTAATCATTGTATAATGTCCTTCCGTGTCTCGTATGGTGTTTTTTGTCTTGAAGTTAATTTGATCAGAAATTAATATTGCCACTCCTGGTCTCTTACAATTGCCATTTGCTTGATATATCTTTTTCCAACTTTTGATTTTTAGTCTATTTTTGTCTTTATCTCTAAGATGTGTCTCTTATATGCAGCATACTGATGCGTTTTGTTTTCTTGTCCAATCTGCAACTCTCCATCTCTTGAGTGGTGCATTTAATCAATTAACATTCAGTGTAATTATTGACAAGAATGATTTGATTGCTGTCATTTTGTTATTTGTTTTCATGGTGTCCCTGGTTTCTTTATTCCATATTATTTTCTGCGCTGCACTCATTCTGTTTATGAATCCTGTTATCATTTCCTTTTTGCTGTTGTTTTAGTATTTGCTGAGTATTTGTGCTTGTCCTCTTTTTATTATGATATGACAGTTTATGATTTTTCTTTGAGGTTACCCTATGGTTTATAATTTTCTCCCCAAGTCCTAAAACTAATTTTAAACTTAGTCATAGTCCCCAACCTAGCCCTAGCCTTAGCCCTAATCCTATTCTTAGCACTAACCCTAAATTTAGCCTTAGTCCTAACCCTAACCTCAGCCTAAACCCTAATGCTAAATCTGACTGTAGCCCCACTCCCATCTCAAACCGTAGCCCTGACCTGAAACTAGTAATAGCCCTAGTAATACTTCACTCCCTAACCCTAACATTAACACTGCCATAACCATGATCATTAACCCTAGCCCTAACCTTAGTCCTAGGCCTAACTCTAGCCCTACCCTACACCCAAACATAACCCTATCCCTAACCTTAACTGTAACCCTAATCCTAATCCTAACCCTTAATCTAGATAGTTTCTTATGCTTAGTCTTAATCCAAACCCTAATTCTAAACCTAATCTAACCCTGTCCCTAACTTTAACTAAAACCAGCCATAATCTAGCCCTAGTCCAATCTCTATCTGTAAGCCTAAGCCTAATGCTAACCCTAACACTATCCTTAACACTAACCCCAACCCTACAATTAATCCTAACCCTAATACTGGACCAAGTCTAAGTCTAGCATAAGTCCAAACCGTAACTCTAAACCTAAGCCTAACCCTAACACAAACCCTTAAACCTGATCCCAAACCATACCCTAACTCTATCCCTAACCATAACACTAAACCAAGTCCTAGGCATAGCCCTAGCATAACCCCTAACTCTTAGGCTAACACTAATCCCATCCCTAATTCATTTCCTAATTTAAAAAAACAAGACCTAGGTGAGCCCTAGCACAACCTCTAACTCTAAGCCTAATGCTAGCCCTAACTGTAAATTCTAACCCTAACCATAGTCCCAGCCCTAACCCTAAATCTAACGCTTGCCCTAAATCTAGCCCTAGCCCAACCCCCAACCCTAGCCTTAGCATTAGCCTTAGCCCTAACCCTAGCTCTAGACCTAAAGCTGAATCTAACCATAACCCTAACCATCAAATATATCAAAAATCATTAAGATGGCATTCTGTTATGCACAAATTTGCCATCAGCCCCAGCCAACTGAGTAGCAACTAACAACAAACACTAAATATTTCTGAGGAAAGGCAATGGTGGGATCAGACTCTGTGGGGGCCTAAAGCTTATATAGTTTGTGGGGCTCTCTTAATAGGTACCAAGTATTGATTTAGAATGAGAAAAGAAATTGCAGCAAATTATTGAAACTTTGGAAATTCTGGTCTTCTGTTTATCAGAATTGTTTGCCTAGACGTGCTTCCTGAGGGCAGCCTGGCTCCCCCTTTGTCTAGAGCATTTTCCAGAAGACAGCTCCCAGCATCCTTAGAAATAACGCTAGCAAGGTGTCCTTGGTGTAAACTAGCCTCTGAGGAGCTTCTGGCTCAGCAACAGCAAACTAGGAGGCTTATTGGGCCAGGGTCAGACAATCTTTCCGGAATGGGAGGCTGTGGGGTGTGGGTAGTCATACTTCACTCAATGTCCTCTAGGCTTGGGACAAGCTGTGAGGCCAGCCAATAGATATGAAGAGGCAGCATGCCCCCGGGGCGTTTGTTCTCTGAACCTCTGGGAGAAAGCAGCTCTGTTGACGTCCGAGATGAAGGCAGCAGCCAAAGGACCTAGGTTTCCTAACTAAGATTATTTAAACTTGACTTCAAAAGTACAAACCATGTCTCTGGCATTTCTGGAAATAAACATCATGCCAGCTTGAAATTCCCAAGGAAAAACAGAGTGGTAAGATTTTATTTTTAAAGAGAGAGAGAGAGAGAAAAAATAACTTATAATATTTATGTTTTAACATTAAAGAATTAACTCCTGCAAAACAAGTAATGAGCAGCAGAAAGGGCGGTGCCTGGAGCACTGTTCCTCAAACAGTGAGTGGCCAAGGGCCAGAGCGCGCCTGGCAGGGGGGCACCCGGAGAGAGGACGCGGTGCAGTGCTGGGGGTGGGGTGGGAGTGTTGGGGGTGAAGGAGGGGCTGGGGTGTGAGGGTGTGGGGGCTGGGGATGTGGGGTGTGTATGTGTGTTTAAGTGTAGGTTGGGGTGTTTGGGAATTAGGGGGTAGGGGTTGGGAGATTCGGGGTTACGGTTGGGGGAAGAGGGGTGGCAGGACCGCGCGGGGCTGCTAGGCGCGCGGGGGCGGTGAGCCCGGCGCTGCCAATAGCAGACAAAGACCGTCCCAGTGAATCATGTGGTGCGGCGGGAGGAAGTACTGCTTGTTTTCTTCGCTCTAGTCTGTGGGCTCGGCTCAGCGCTGAGACCCCCGCCGGCGTGTTGGCGGTGGTGGCTGAGAGGCTGGATGAGGCCAGTGCGTCCCTGGACGCGTTGCAGCGCCGGGCGCTCTCATGGCGGCCCCGCCATGGGACCCTCTGCGAAATGACTCGCTGCCACCCACACTGACTCCGGCCGTACCCCCCTATGTGAAGCTCGGCCTCACCATCGTCTACACCGTGTTCTACTCTTTGCTCTTTGTGTTCATCTACGTGCAGCTGTGGCTAGTGCTGCGCTACCGCCACAAGCGGCTCAGCTACCAGAGCGTCTTCCTCTTCCTCTGCCTCTTCTGGGCCTCCCTCCGTACTGTCCTCTTCTCTTTCTACTTCAGAGACTTCGTGGCGGCCAATTCGCTCAGCCCCTTCCTCTTCTGGCTGCTCTACTGCTTCCCTGTGTGCCTCCAGTTCTTCACTCTGACGCTGATGAACTTGTACTTCACACAGGTGAGTCACAGGAAAGCAGCCCCAATCTTCAGGAGACACCTGGAGACAGAGGCGTCACAGGGGATGGGGGAGGGTGAGAAACTCTCTGGGCGACTTTGTCGGAGGGGGTGGTAACAAAATGACTGTTCATAAAAGTTTTGTGCAGTTTCTTCAGCAATTTATTATTATTAGTAGTAGTATTAATAAAAATATCCCTGTAGTTAGTTATAACAACAAAAACATTTCTTAAGTTCAGATTGCATGTATCAGTATACCTACAAGCCTAAAACTCTATGCTGTTTTACCTTTTGAACCTTCTAATGCTCTCAGGTCAGAGCTGTCATTATTGCTCAATTATAATAATGCGTTGAATCCCGTGGTTTCGTCTGCCTGGCTGTTTTCATTTGCTGCCAGTGTTGCTGATTTTGTCAGATTTTCTGGTGTTTTAGTTATTACAGTGTTGTGGCAATTAGCATTTGTGAACCTATATCAACACCATTTCTGAGAATGCAGTAGTTATTAAAGAAAAAAAGAAAAAGAAAAAAGCCTTTCATCCAATTACTAATGATGTAATTCAATGTAGAAAGATTTTACAAAACTATATTGTTTTTTAGGAGCTCTGGTAGCATAGTGGCTAAAGCATTTGACTGCTAACCAGAAGGCTGGTGGTTCAAACCCACCAGCCACTCCTCGGAAGGAAGGTTGGGCAATCCTACTTCCGTAGTGATACTGCCTCGGAAACCCAAGGAGGGGTCGCTATGAGTCGGGGCCAACTCGACGGCACACAACAACAACAACAACATTGTTTTTTTTTTATAGTGTCTCTTGTTATCTATGGGGGATTGGTTCCAGGACTCTCCAGAATATCAATTCTGTGGATACTCAAGTTCCTTATGTAAAATGGCATAGCATTTGCATATAAATCTACACACATCTTCCCATATACTTTAAATCATCTATACCAAAAAAAAACAAAAAAACATACTCACTGCTGTTGAGTGGATCCTGCCTCATAGCGACCCCTCCTTGGGTTTCTGAGGCAGTATCACTATGGAAGTAGATTTCCCCATCTTCCTTCCGAGGAGTGACTGGTGGGTTTGAATGGCCAGCCTTCTGGTTAGCAGTCAAACATAATGTAAATGCTATATAAATAACCCTTTATGCTCCCTCTTAGCCTTTGAGAGATTGCTTTGATCATTTTTCCCCCTGAATATTTTCCATGTGAAACTGGTTGAATCCTTGGATGCAGAACCTGTGGATATAGAGGGCTGACTGTATTCTTAAAATCTAAGAAATGTTATAGTTAAGCAGTTTACAACTATATCACATATTATTCTATGATTAAAATAGATAATAAACATTACTGAGGATTCTGAATAGCATAGTGCCTAAGCACTTGACTGCTAACCAGAAGGCCGGCGGTTCAAACCCACCAGCCACTCCTCGGAAGGAAGGTTGGGCAATCCTACTTCTGTAGTGATACTGCCTCGGAAACCCAAGGAGGGGTCGCTATGAGTCGGGGCTGACTCGACGGCAAATAACAACAACAACAAGGATTCTGCATGGAGCTTTAGTGGCATGATAGTTAAAGCATTGGATGCTAACCAAAAGTTAGATGGTTAGAACTCACCAACTGCTCTATTGGAGAACCATGAGGTCGTCTGCTTTCCTAAAGATTTACAGCTTTGGAAACCTTATTGGAAAGTTCTACTCTGTTCTATAGAGTCACTATGAGTCAAAATCAACTTGATGGCCATTGTTTTTTGGGGTTTTAATGATTCCTTGTGATCTAGTACAGAGGTGGTCCACAGGGGAGTGACACTATGGGTTACCACCACACTAGGTGATACCAACCCTAGAGATGCCACTACCTGGAGGGAATGCACCTGTCTGGGTGACCAGTGCCAGACCCAGTGGAGATGGCAGCTGTGGGGGTGATCTCAGCCCTGTGGCCCTGGGAAAATGCATTGCTTCTGGGCTTGGCTGATTCTGGTCCTACTGGCAGGCATTTCTCTCAGGTAACCCCCACTCACCCCTCCCATCCCCAAAGAGGGGACAGGGAAAGAATGTGAAGGCTATAAGCCAGTCAGTCACTGCCCTTAGCATAACTTAACTACTGTGCACTGAGTGTGACAACTCACATGCCGACAACTTCAGCATCTTCTTGCACCATGTCAGAATTGGTACCAAGTGGAAGGTGTCCACTGAACTCTAAAATTTCTCTTCTATTCAAAACCAAAAAAAAAAAAAAAAAAACCCTCCAAACCTACTGCCATCAAGTTGACCCTGACTCATAGCCCTCCTATGGGACAGAGTATAGCTACTCCATCATATTTCTAAGGGTATAAATCTTTTCAGAAGCAGACCACCTCCTCTTTTCCCGTGGAGCAGCTAGTGAGTTTGAACCACCAACTATTTGGCTATCAGCCAAATACATTAACCACTACATCACCAAAGCTCCTATCCTCATTCCAAAGCCCTAATAATCCCAACCCGGAATGATTATGTGCACTTTACCCTTCAGATTTGGGCCTGCCATTGGCTTTTTTGAGTGATGGCAGATTGGCACTGGCATAGTTTTGATGAGTTATTTTGAACCCAAGACTTAGCAGCCCTATTCAACTACAACTTACAAATCAGTGCACAGGATTGCTATAACAGCTGTTTGGGGATAACACCCAGCTCCTGGCTGTTACAACAAGAGCCGGGCTCACTGACTGAGCTCATCTGTGAGGCTCAGAGAAAAACCCATAAAAGTTTAGTGGGGCTCTTTTATAGGGCACTCAAGAGTTATTTTATGAGGCATATTGTTAATAAACTAATGGGAGAACATGCAAATGACTTGGCTGCTGCTTTTTAAGTGATGGTTGACTTAATGAAAGTACAGTAATTGTAAAGCAGTTTGCAAATGCTGCATAAAACATTACACAAAGGTTCAATAGCTCAATATTATAATGATTATTATCTTTCTGTTTCTACTAACTTGGCAACCACTAAAATGTCTATTTTCACTGGGAATTATGCCACCTGTATCACCCAGCAGCAGGTAATTTAAGAAGTGTCCAGTGGGTAGCATCCTGGTGCAAGGAGAAAGTGAATTTTTTCTAGTCCTTTTAACCGCATCTCTGTTTTTCAAAAGAAAATGTTAATTAATAAATAAATAAAAAGGAAAAGGATTGTGTTGGTATAGTAGAAGCTATTAAAAAAAAAAAGTTTGGAGGAAGTGCTTTTGGCTAGAAAAATAGCATTTGTACTGTTATTACATATTAAAATCTTATCAAAATTGGATGACCCTCAAAGAGTTCTTGTAAGTGCAGTGTTTCAGCATATTTTCCAGTCTACAAGTAAAGCATAATGTCTGTCCATACGACTTTTAAACCCCCAAACTAGTTTTGGCAATCAATTACTTTGTAGACAGTCTGGCTTTTAATTAGAATGCAAGAGCTGAGTCTATGAAGAAGTGAAAGTTAGGTAAACTGATGTTTCTTTAAGAACTTTGAGAAGGGTCACATTCTACATTGAGATCTTTAATATTTTCCCTTTTTGAGAAAAAAAGGAAAACACAGGGAACAACCATTGCTCTCTAATCACATGCAAATACTGAGCTTGAAGCTGAATTAGTGGTATTGCTGCCCATTTTCTGCACCATCTGTGGTTTGAGGAGTAAATGCTGAATAAGGAAAAGAGTTACCAGGCAGACAGGGCTACTCTCAGCTTAGAGACATAAAGTCACAGCTCTGCTACCTTTATATCCTCCAACTCGTTGGCCCTACAGCAAAGAGTGCTTCTCCCGAGGGCACAAGAGACTGACAGGAGAAGGTGGCACTGCAGGACTGGCATCCTGGATCCAGGGAACAAAGCCATTTCCTGGCTTTCTGACAAATAATCTGGTGCTGCTAGGGAGCTATGAAGAGGGGTGGGCCTTTTGATCAGAGCTCTGACACTGCTTCCTCCTTTCCACACACACACACACACACGTGCACACACACTCATTCTCTCAGTCGGTGTGCTGGACTTTGGCTGCACATTGGAATGACCAGGGGAAGCCTGAGCCCCTTCTTAGAGCAAGTAAACTAGATTCTATAGGGGAAGGGGTGGTAACTAGCAATTAAGAAGAACATACTGTGTGCTAGGTACAGTTCTAAACAGTTGGTCTTACATTATTCTTTATATCCATCCTCTGAAGAAAGTACTGGTGTTGTTGTTGTTGTTATGTGCCGTTGAGTCGGCCCCGACTCATAGCGACCCCTCCTTGGATTTCCGAGGCAGTATCACTATGGAAGTAGGATTGCCCAACCTTCCTTAGAGTCCCCATTTTACAGAGGAGGAAACTGAGGCTCAGAGATGTTAAATGAATTACTCAAAGTGACAATTTCAATGCATGGTGGAATCAGGATTCAGACCCACATCTGTGGCATCTGAGTGGAAGGCTTATCCTTTAAGGTACTTGAGGTCTCTTACCATGGAAAAATATACCCTACTGTTGTTCTCCAAGAGCTTAAAGTCAAGTTGGGAGATACAAAGTATACATATGACACAGTTAAACAATAATTCAAGAGATTTAAGAGAGTATGGGAGCTCTGGTGGTGTAGTGCCTAAGGCATTTGACTGTTAACCAGAAGGCTAGAGGTTCAAACCCACCAGCCACTCCTTGGAAGGAAGACTGGGTAATATACTTCCATAGAGATACTACCTTGGAAACCCAAAGAGGGGTCTCTGTGAGTCGAATTGACTCAATGGCAGTGAGCTTGGTTTTGGTTTTTGGAAGACAGTATATGTATTTGATTATTAGCATGGGAGAAAACAGCTGAGAGGGCTCAGAAAAGAGGTGGATTTGCAGGCTGGGAGGAGAGGTAGGGAGGAAGAAAGACACTGGCCATAGAGGAAGAGGGTAGTGTGGCTAACATCTCGATGTGGGAGAGGTACTGGAAATAGAGGAAGCTCTTTATGCTGGCTCTGGCCCAGACTTCCTTCCTCATCACCATTAAGCCTCCCTGATGGCCCTGTGAGGAGAGAGTTGT